ACACTACTTTTGTTGAGCAGGATATCTTTTTAAGTTTGAATGTCAGTGTTTTTACATTAAAATTTTCTAATCAATATATCAACAACTTCACTGGAATCAGTGAGCAGAACTAGACATTTGAAGAATCACCTTTCCTTTAAAAATAGTATGAAAAAAATAATCACTGGTAGGAAAAGTTATAAAGATGTTGAAGCATCATGAGATTGGTCTCCACATATGTTGAAGGCCATGCTCAGGGAAACTGGCATCAATGCTGCAGTCACATTTTCAGGTGTACCTAACTCTAGCTATAACCCAGACATTTCTCAACTTGTGCTTGTAGAGCCCTCAATCATGTGACAGTATATCCTTCCAATACATTATTTTGAAGCTATTTAAAATAAGGTGCTTGTCACTGAAAAACTTTCCACTTTTACAAGATTCATTATACATTTGGTAACATAATGAACCAATAAAAGTCTACTGAATTGGCAGTGTGAGTTAAACAAAATATTGTTTGAATAACAAGAATAGTTGATAGGATCGATTGTTCCACGTGTATTTAGTGAGCACCTGTTATGTAGCTATATTAGATAATGGGCATTCAATGACAAACAAGGCAGAAGTGATGACTTTTATGTTTCCAGTTGTAGGTGTATTTCTCTGGCTAGTAGACTATCCTCATTAATAGAGTTTTCTGATCAATAGACTTCCCTGGTTAGCAACACTTGACATGGGTGTTAAGAAGTTGGAAAGAAGGTCTCCAAAAATCTCCAGAGGGATAGACATTTAAAAAGGAATTCTTACCAGTAATACATATTTTAGAGGAATCAATAATTCATTAATGTGAATGGGTCAGACACATTTAATTAATCAAGATTATTAATGGTGTTCAGCTAAACAAACATCAGATCCCTTGCAAAATCTATGTATTTCTTTAAATAATATTTTGTTCCTTATCTGTAAGTAGAATTTCCCAAACTTGAGCAGAGTAGCCTATCTTTATACTTAGAATATGTTTATAGATTGCCTATTTTCTAATCTTAATATTGACTTCCTCCTGACTAAAAATACTTGGATAAAAATGAATTTTAACTTAGCACTGGCTCTAGTATCTAAACTTTAGGTAAAATGAAAGAAAAATAAACCTTTAATTATATAGGATCCAGATTATTACCGGTAGATAAATGCATGGACATTTGAAGGTTTCACAAGAAGAAATGTCAAGAAAATTTCGAAGGGTTGTGTGGATCTAGAGGAGAAGCTTTATTAGCTACTGCTGAGCCCAGAACATGGCCTTGCTTCTTTCAAGTTGTGTTAATTGAGTGCATGTCTCTTAAGGGTGTGGATGGTTAGTTCATTGACTATAATGAATCAACTATATTATAAATATATTACACTCTCTTACCCATCTTTTAATTGCCATAGAAAAAGCTTTCTAGGGTGATCACTATGTTACTTGACAGTAACTGAGAGTTGCAGTTGTCTGGTAAACTTTCTTTGCATTTCTCTCTTTTTGAGTAGACTTGATTTGTCCATGGCAACATGGAAATACTTCTGTGTACAGAGCAACTGAGCAAGGAAGGTCCTAATGAGTACCTTCTGAGTTAGGAATTTAGTGTTGTCCTTAATCTCAAAAGATACATGCTGACAGGGTATAAAAGCAGGGAGCAGGGAGTTCAAGGCACTTCTGTACCACATCTTTGGGCCAGCAAGATGTCTCAGAGACTAAAAGTGATTGTTGTGCAAGCCTGACAAGCCAAGTTCAGACCCTGGATCTCATGGTAAAAGGAAGATCCACTCTTGAGGATTAAACTCTAACCTCCAGTTGTACATGTGTGCCTGCATGCATGTACACACACACACACACACACACACACACACACACACACACACACACACACACACACCTTTCACAAAATAGGCACACTATTGCATTTCATAATTGTATCTGAGACACTGATAATTAATTATGATTCTCTCACTGGACTCTGAAAGAACTGAGAGCTTATACATCCTTATTTTTCCTTAAGGTCTATCATTGTGCCTGGCACCTGTAAAGCTTTCCATAAAGGCTTCCTTAGCTTAAGAAATTTGCTTTAGTTTTTATATATGGAAGAATGTTCATATTAACTTCATGGATATGGGCAATGGGAGTATCTTTTCTACTTAGAGTCCTTTCAGGTATTTAAAGGTCAGTTATAATGGCTCTATTAAGGCAAGCCTCTTCTACAAATATTATTGAACATGGAATTTTTATATTAATCTTTAGTGACAGTTGTTAATAGAAAGAAGCTTGGTTATGTTACTCAACTGTCTTAGTGTCTACCAGCAAGAATATTTCCTAAGAATAATGGTGATGATACGGGTAGGTGAAGCTGAGGACAGAAACAAGACAAATAACATACTCATTTTCCTTATACTAATGAACACACAGCTATTGTCACTCCTAATAGAATGAGACATTTTTGTAGGGAGGATGCTGCCCTCACACTTTCAATCCTTTTACAGTCTCTTTTTGAAAATATCAAAACTTCTTGTCTTTGTGGATAGTTTATTTCAGCATTATTTTCCAAACAGGCCCTTACATGTTAACATAATAAAGGCCAACAAAAATCACACTAGAGAAAATACTAAAGTAAGGAATAAAACTCATTTTCTATCCAAGATAATTTTACAGAATAAATATTCTCTATGGTAAGAATTCCTGAATTTTTAAAGAAAAAATACTTCTATTCTTTTTTATTGAAAACATTTTAAGGATTACAGTAAAAACAATTTAAAAATATATTATTTTCCCAAGCTCAGGCATAGGGTGATTTTGGAGTGGTTTTATTTGATTTTTACCTATTTGTTCTGGAACTTTAGTGCCCTCATACCGACCTATTTTATTTATTATTGGTCAATTTAGCCCACTCCTGGCTGCCTACCCACCCATGACTTCAGTAGCTTCCCCATTCTCCATCAGCACCTTTTTTGCCAACTGATATATCATCCCCCATCTGTTGAAATTGCCATGTTCTTTCTAGCACAACTCCGCCTCCAGCTTCCCTCCCAGCCACCTACCTTGCTGTCCTTCCATCTGCTAGCACAATGAACATCTCTGCAACATATTCCTAAGTGAAACCATGGCAAGCTCTACGCATATGCTTACCAAACATTCATTTTTTAAAGGACCAGTACAATGACAGTAACAACTCACTACTCAATATCTTAGATAGAGATCAAACCTACATTTAGCATTTGATTTCTCTTACATCCTAAAATTATTGGCTGTGCCCAACATTCTTCCATGAATAATATGTCTTGAAGAATAGAGTGACTGCCCTTCCCAAGGACTAATAATTTTGATGGTGTTCTTTGGAGCCCTACTTTCTGTGTGGTCCAATCTGTTAATTGTACATGGTTCATTGTCCAAAGTTTTGTATTCAGTGAATAAAGACAATCTTTTCCTGACTACCACATCCTCACAACAGTTTAATTAAATCCAACTCTGTAAGCTTAATGATTCAGAATTATGTTTGAATTGGGTTATGTGCTAGAGTCACCTATAAGATATAAAAGACATTATAAACAAATGCTAGTATATGGTAATTGTGGGTTCGAAAATTTTGATACTAACATTGCACAAAGAATACATCTTCCCTCAGTGTTGACATACTTAACAAGTGGAGGTTTGTTTTCCTAGTGGATGAGAATACACTAGAAGTTAAGGAGGTCATAGGAAAACATTAATAATCTTATTTCCCATTCATATTTCTAAATGATTTGCCCTATCAACTTCGACTCTGAGATTACATAAGGTCATGCTTATAAGAGGCTCACTCAGGATTTATCTTTACATTTAAAACAACAGTTTGATTAAAAGACCTTTTGGTAAATACGAGTATTGAAGTCCTGGGACTAAACTGCTCTAGTTGTGCTAATTTGTACTACACTAAGAAGATGGTTTTATGTTTGGTTTTTATAGGCTTTATTATTTAAGTTTGATGATGATAGGAGATGTGGAAATGACACTTACTGGTCATCAAAAAGACAACTTCTTATCCTCTCAGATCCTAAAGAGAAAGGAGCACCTCATGCCAGAATGATTTGCACAGATACACAGAAGCTGATCAGAAGTTAGAATGAGTGAGGGGCTGCATAGCATTCAGGGGAGGGGAGCTGAAGATAAGCTAGTTTGATTTCAGTGGTCTCTAGAACACAGAAACTAGTTATCTTCTGCTTTTCCCACAGCAAGTGATTGGTGGCCTGAAGTATGAGCCAGGATACATTATAGTAGTGCATTGTGTTGGTAGGTGTACACTTGAAAAATGCATTCAAGTTGCTTACTAGCTCCAGTAACTGGTTAACAGTATTTCTGGGTCAGCAAAGTAAAATAATCAGAACCCAGAGAATAAATGACTGACAACCATTAAAAAGAAATGTTGAGGGTTATGTGACATAGATTGAAAGATTCTTTGGTTGCAAATGTCTTCAGTGAGATTATCAATATCTGTGGGTGCTAAGTATGTGCATAGTCAAGCCTTACACATTATTCTGGCAGGAAATGTTTAGTGACTGGCCCCATTATTCTTCTCAAGTCAGGTTTGACTTCAGAATACACTTTGAACCTTTTCAATGACACTTCTAATGAATATTCTACAGGAATCTACTTTTAAACTGGGATTATGGCTCTTCATTTCTTCCATAATTTCTGCCAAATACTTTTGACTGATAGAATAATGTATGTATTTCCCACCCTCTGTTTTATTTATTTGATCCCATTGAAATTCAAGTCCATCATCTTCTTTTGCACACACAAAGCCAGAGAACACATTAGATCCTAATGAAGTACTTATCACACTAAGTTGCCTGTGAGAGGAAAGGTATTAGGGGGGGGGGGGGGGGGGGGGGGGGGGGGGGGAGTTGTTCAGTTGGTGAAATAGGCACCAAGCTGGTCTTGCAAAGATATAAACCTCAGTCAACTCTTTTTTGTTTGTTTGCTTTAAGGTTTTATTTTTCTTTTTGTGAGACTGGGTCTCTCTGTGTCGCCTGAAATTCAAAGAGTTTCAGGCAGACATCATCACACGCTTCAATCAATTTCAAAGAGCATTTCTGGGTTGGGAGTGGCTGGAGAGATGACTTCACAGTTAAGAAACCTTGATGCTATTCCCTAGGAAGCAAGTTCAGTTGCTGGTATCCAAGGTGGCTCACAATCATCTATAACTATCACCAGCTCCAGGTTAGCCAATGCTCACTTCTGGCCTCCTGGAGCACACAAACATGCCTTAGGCACTGTTATACACAATTAAAATGTAATGAAAAATAAATCTCAAGAAAGGAGTATATATGAAAAATATTTCATGTAGTACTAAGGGAAAAAATTAGGAGGGTCTACTTTTATCATTTTTACAATGGGAACTCAAGGGAGATGAAGTCTCTCCATGTCAATCTTTGTTATTAGTTCATATACGGAAAGCTCTCTGCACCTTTTGTCAGGAGTGAGCACAGGACAGCCCACCGAATTCCCTATAGGGAACTTCCATTCAAATCCAAACTATTACAAAATCAATTTGTATATGTGTTAAGATTTGTGAGAACAGGAACACTATCCCTTTTCATGTATTGACTGCTATGTCTTTTTGTCTTCCACAGGTGATCTGCAATGCCCTACAATCTCAGCTGAATTATTTATACATGTGTGTCCTACTCTGCATCATACGAAGATGTTTTTCATCTGTTCTGAGAGTGTTTAATTGCTTAAGTTTGATAAGAACAGATTCAGATTGAGAAAAGACAACCTGTTACTCCCACAGATACCGGGACAAAAGAGTACCTCACACTTGGCTCTGTTAAGACACTTGGAGTGTGGTTGGAAGGTAGAGGAGAGAGCACAGTCCTCTACTTAGACTTACTACAAAGCAGTCCATTTCATATCTATGCCATGCTTATTCTGTACTGGAAAATTTACAAATCTATCATTTTGAGATATTCATGTCACCTGATTTCTCACTCTAAATTACTAACATATTTTTAAATGAGTTATCAAGCCTTACATTAATGAACCATAGTCAGAATTCTGAAACACTGCTGCTTAAGAAGTATAGTCCACATAAAATTCCAATTCTATCAATTTTCCTTTCAAGCTTTGTATTTTATATTTGACTACTGCATTCTTCATTCCATTTTCCCTCTCCATTTGTGTTTCATCATGTTTTTCTGTTTCCCCCTTCCAACCATATCTAATAGGATTATTACCTTGTCACTAAAATCACCATTTATTTAAAGGTTGAGATTGAAAAAATTCTTATGAATTTGCTGGTTTCTCCCAAGTGATCATCCAGAGAAATTAATCCTAACTGCTGTTACAGGTGAACCCATGTCACTCCACATTTCCCTCCTGTGACCTAGAAACTACTTTTCTGTGACTATCAACATATTGTATTGTACTGTACTGTATTTACTTTAATTTTCCTTCAGCTATATGTAGCACATAGTATTTTCATTACACTCACCACTCAGATTTACTATGCATCCTTGGGCAATAGCAGCACTAAATTTCTGCCCCCTCCTTCCTTTTTCATTTTTTCCTTGAATTCTAAGGGCCACCCCAAGCAGAAGGCATTTGAGAATTAAACATTGTGACTCAGCATCAAGAGACCTCAATAAACAGGTACCTCCCTCTCTCTGATTCCCTTACCTCAGGGAGAACTCCACCTGTGAGCTTCCTCTGTAACTGAACTAGATTATCTCTGTAGACAGAACACCTCAGACAGCATGTCTGTGCCACACCATGCTGCCGACAGAGCCCAGGTGATGGAGTGATTCTGGCAGAACTCCTGCGCTCTTCGAATACTTGGGAAGTGCATTTCCTGGCTTCTTCTCACTGTTACGGATTTGTTTTAGTTTTTGTTTTTCAGGAAAATGATTACTGTTGTATAAAAAAATTAATTGGCTATCTCTACTGCTGGCTTCAGAAAGATGACTTAACAAATCTATTATTAAAATTAAGTCTCAACAAATATGTTGCATAAACATTGCATGTAATGTTACTGATGTTACTTCTGTATCCTAAAAACCATCTTAGGGATTAATGTTCCAAATATTTATCTGCACTTATGAACTGACACTTTTAGCAAGCAGCTTTAATTCACAAAGACCCAACCAATAGAGTCATACAGTACTATGTGTTCAGTTGGCTGAGTTAGTGAAAATTTTCTTTGTCTCATATAGAGAGAGCTCTGTGATGCTCATAAGCTTAATATTTAAAACACTAGGGAAAAATCTATAATTTCCCAGTAAATTTTACTTTAGCCTATTGATCCAGTCTTCTTGGAATAACACATTCTTGACAGCAGAATAAGAGGCAATGTAGGAAAAAGTCAAACTGTCCTGTTTCTGACAAAGGTCCTCCCTCAAGGACATACTATTCCAAATCGTTTGCTTTACTATATCTGCTTTTTAAAAACTGCAAGTCAGTTTTGAGTATGACTGAGTATTGCTATGGTTCCCTTTACTTCCAGGAGAGCTGAGTATTTTGGGTATTAGTACCCTTTTGTACAATTTGAAATGCCGACATCGATGTAATAATCTGAGCCGAAGCCCTGCCACAGCCACAGCCCTGCCAAAACTTCTCCAGCAGGAGGTAATTTCCACTTACAGATACAGCGGCTCACTCCCAGGCTGCCCCTCCCCAGTCTGCCAGCTTTCATCCAAACAAGGCATACACATCTAAGTTCCTGCACATTCTTGAAAAGCCTTGGCATGCAAAATAAATACTTTACATCCATACTGTCAAATATATAAAATAATACCATCTCTCAATTAACATGATCACTGAGAGCCCTGACACTCTTGCCGGATAAACCGGGATCTCTATCATCAGTACCGCATCGTCGTTTTATCCCAACTCAGCACATTACCTAACCTAGAGAAAAATCTTGGACTCACCGTCTGTGTTGAACCATCTGCCGATCTTGGTATAATATCTATTTCAAATCGTCCCTTTGAATAGACTTGGGGAGAGTTATGACACACGCTGTGTCTCTTCTGCAGCAGAAGGCAAGTTAAAAGGACTTCAAGCTGTGACCTCAGAGGCAGGCACAACCGCTCCCATCCTTCAGCCAACCTTCTGCAAAGAACAGGTTATAAGACTGCAAACCTGGCTCTCTTCATAGCAATACTTTGAAATAAAGCATTCTGAGCTGTGAGCTGTGGATTTACATGCCCGAACCAGGCTGGCTGGAGTCAATGCTGCTTCTATGCCTGAAAATATTAAGCATTTCACTGCAGTCACTTAATGCAAGAAACTATCCGAGGCGACTTCACAAACCCTGTCATTCTGTTCGGGGGACTAAAGAACGAGCAGGGCATGCATAATTCATGCATTGGAGTCTTCAATGCACTTCCTGTAGCCTGGGCTCTACCCAGTAATGGGCTATTGATCACCTCATCCCTAAGACAATCGGAGCGCTCTGATTGGTTTATTTCCACAAATAAAATTACAACCTGAATCACAGGCTGAAGCCTCCAGCCCGGCTGCAGCTTCTCAGGAAAGACATTCCCATAGCCGAAATGACATCTGCAAGCTGCAGGATTTCTAAGCTGGGCTCGTTTGGGCAGAAACTACAGAATCTGTTTTCTTTTCATCAAAAAGGGCATACTTTACTCTAGGATTAAGCTGGGTATTTCACTTTATCAGGATGATACATACAGCTGTTTCCTTCTCCATCATTTCAGAGACATCAACAAGGACAAATGAAAATTAAGAAAAAAAACACATAAAAGAGTAACATGTGGCAAAAAAATTAGGAGCCTTTTACCTGACCTCATTCAGTCATTGCTCTTAGAAGAATTATTCTAAAATAGTTAGTATGTCATTTCATTAATGTACAAAGTCTTTCTTTTATTAAAAATCATAATGTATAATGTAGTTATCCATATTAGATATTCTAGACCATGATTAGTTTTATTCTGGGTGTGTCAGTGGTTCTGAGATCTTTCTCTGGAAATTTAAGCTTCAAAGAACACACTATTGTTTACAATGACTGAAAAAAAACAGCTGTTCAACAAAGTGTACATTTAATTATGCTCATACTCATTAAAAACAAACAAACAGGTCCTAGAACTTTAAAATGCCATTATAGTATTTGAAGAAATACTACTGTGGGAGATCCTGTGAATCTGAAAATGTCTGTATCTAAAAATAGTGAACATCTACTCAAAGACCTCTGGACTAAAATTAGTTGTCTTATGTTTTTACACAGGAGGAGTGAACATAATGCTCTTAAAGTCACTGAGCACCATGAAATCACATCTTCCCAAAGCCTGTACTCACACACACACACACACACACACACACACACACACACACACACACACACACACACGAGTAAACACAAACACACATTCAATTTATATTTCTATGCTATCACACTTGATCACTGATAAAGCCAGAGTGAAAAGTTCTTGACTTGGGGATAAAGAAACACTATTGTGGAAAAGCCATTCTCCCACCCCCTGCATTTTAGATTGTGCAGAGCAATCGCCTTTTGAGCAGGCACAACTGTGTTGGTCTTGAGTCAGTAAACCAACAGTACATATAGAGTTTGGAGGCAGTAGAGATACAGATGGCAACAGAGGTGCAACAGAGTGAAAAATACACTTTTCTTCCAAGTGTATATGACATGTAAGATCTGTACCTGACAAATAGAGTTTCTTCTAGAACATTCTAGGGCAGGGTGGGAAACTAATCACCCAATGACTTTGGTGATAATAAATTCTGTATTCATACTACTTTTTTTTAACCCTGAGAAGTTCCTACCTTTGTATTTATATATTACTGTCTGTCTGATAAATTTTAACTAAATTACACAATGGGTCTTATGTATTTTTATCTCTTTCTCTGATCGATGATCTTTCCTGTTAAATATAGGATTGAAAGGACTTGGATATCTTTGAAATTTGTATAGCAATTTATTAAAAGACACAATTTCTCATGGGAGAATATCTCATTTAAAATAGCAAAAGTTGAGAATAAAGAGATGCCTCAGCAGGTAAGAGCATTGACTGCTCTTCTAGAGAACCTGGATTCAGTTCCTTAAACCCACCTTGCATCTCACAGCCATCTGTAACTCTAATTAAAGAGGATCCAGCACCTTCTGGCCTCGAGTGCACCAGGCAAACGCATAGAAAATGAGCATGCATGCACACAGAACACCATCCAGATATAATAAACAGGCATACATATAAAATAAAACAAATAAGGCATTTTTTAATTTAAAGTAAGTAATTAAATAAGTGAAAAAGCAAAAAAAAATGACAGGTTTAGAATGTACTGAGCATGCCAATATTAGAGTAACTGATATAATGTTCAATAACTATAAATGACATGATTCAATTGTGTCATGTTCAGGTGACTAGGATGATTATCAGTTTGGTCCATCTCTCTACAATGAATGGGAAGAAAACCCGTGTCTTTTTCCATCAAAACTTTCATGACACATATCTAAAATGAAGATTGTGAATTATGTATGTATGCCAACTCTCTGAAAATGGAGGGAGAAATGTGTTTACACACACGGGGTGGGGCGGGAGGGTATGACAAACTGTTGACCTAGACTTAACCAAGAATTAGAACCCAGCAAAAAAGAGAATCATGTGGCCTAAGATAAGCGATGAAAACAGTAAATCTCGAGGAAGTCAGAAGCTTGAATTCTGAATGAAAGTGACCATACAGAGCAGACTACATCACCTCCCAGTTAAAACAAGGCCCAAGGCTGTAATAAATACAGTGTCCATTTTCCTGAAGTTTGGCTATTCCTGAGGGGAAAAAACAAATGAACAAACACTTAGCCAATATTTCCAGATGGATAGAAAACAGAGATGGTCATTTCAAATAAATTTGATCTCTTGGCGACCAAATGGCTTTCCAATATTTTGAATTTATAATGCCCACAAAATACAGAATAGATTCCACAATGGAGGTTAAAACAAATCCAAATTTGGGATAAACCAAGTCACATGTTAGACTGTCAAATCTGTGGTATCTGTTAAGATGTATAACAAATCTCCTTGTCTCATTTCATTTTGAACAATGTATGATGTGTTTTCAATAACCCAGAAATAATAAACCAATAAAAATAACATCATGAAAATTTGGAGGAAGAATTCTGTGTTCTCAAGTTAAGAGATAAGGACTGTAAAGAAGAACTGTCTGCAGCTTGCCATTGAAGACTCCCTGTTTTGCCCATATCATAAAAATACTCTTACCCATATCCACTATGCTCTGATTATTTTTTAAAATATTTGTGCAACTTCTATATGCCAAGACAGTTTCACTACATGCTAAAACACCAAACATGCACAGAGTATTGTTGCACAGAGTTTATATATTAGTTCAGAAAGAATGCAAATACCTTGACCAGAGAGAAAGAGAGAGAGAATAATTGCCCTGATTCATATCAAGATTTAAAGCTGAGAAAACTTCCAGAACACAGACACTGAGCCCGTGTGCTAAGTACCTGCTAGCACCCATGGAAATTCCTCTTAACTGTATTCCAGTACTTCAGGCATAATGGCAGAAATATTAGCATGGCTACCTATCAATGGGAACACTAGGGAATGATTCATCGATAGCAATGATATTTAAAGAAACGGATTGGCATAATGGGAAGAACACAGGTTATAATGACAGATTTTTCTATCAGGCCTTCCTCACGTGAACAGTGTGACCCTGCACATGGCATTCACACTTTTTGAACATGAGTTGTATCAGGTACAATGAATGTAAATGTGTATTTATCACGGTTTGGGTGAGAATTGGATAAACAACTTACATCAGAGCACAATCACTTCAAGTACACTGGTAAAGCTTGAAATCTATTTCTCCTGCTTCATCTAAGTTTTCATTAACCTCACAGAGCTGTGAGGAAATTTAAATATGCTGATCACCTTATGCCACTTACCATAGTTTCTGATATGGGAAGAACTTTAAAATGTTGCTGCCTTTGAAAAGTAGATTTTATAAGACAGGGCTTGCAGGAACAGACATTTTCAGAGGAGAATAGTATCACATGGACATGAAGGGAAGCAACACATCATAGTAAGCTTAAGAAAACCAGGCAACAATGGTGTGAAAATGTGCAATACCCTGAACATATAGATGGTAGGAGAATTCGGAACACTACAGTTATATCGATGCTATGAGAAGGTGGGACATTATGGATGTATTGATATCATGAGAATATAGGACACCATGTGGATAGCAACAGTATGAGAATATAGGACACCACGGAAACATCAATGATATGAGAATATGAGACAGACACCATAGACATATTGATACTATGAGAATGTGGGACAATGAATATAGCAACACTATGAGAATGTGGGACATTTTGACATATTGATGGTATAAGAATGTAGGGCATTATAGACCTGTGCCTTGATATAAGATAAAATATTTTACAAAAACATTCTTTGTAAAAAGACATATGTTAAGGTCCTGGGTATACAGGTCATTTGTTTGGCATAGAGTTAGACGGTGATATTATGCATGGGAAGGAGTATTCAGGGTTTAAAAGAACAACATTATTAGAATTTTGTGGGGTAAAGAACACAGGATACAGCAACCAGATGTAATGTGTGTGTTTAGTTGATTTCTATTTGGAGCCCACCAGAAGTGATACGGATCTGAAGCACATCTGGGGACAAGAGAATGAGGAAAACTTGGAGGAGCTTAAACTTCAGAATAAGTAGTTCTGAGCAAGTTATACATTAAGACTAGCTATAGGTTATTTTTTCTAGGGTTGTAACTAGACAACTTTGTCTTTCTGTCTGATTCATTCACAAAGCAAAAAACAAAAAAAGAATGTAAAACAGAAATCTGTTGGTACTATGGAGACATGAGACTCTAATGTTGGATAGCAAAGAAAGGCTAAACTACAAAGCAAAGCAGGTGGTGATGATTTGGACAAACATATTTCCAGTAAGCAAATTGATAGTGAGGCTGGAGCTCACTAAGTAGGTTGGTAGACAATCCAGACTACCCAGCTTGTGGAAATTAATAAAACAGTTCACAGAAGAACATGTGCAAGAGAGAGGAAGGTGAAGGCCTGAGATGTGGATAAGCAATGCCATATGACCTCCTGTCAGCATCCTAACAGAGTGACAAATGACTGAGTGCACACTGTTGACCTGTTATATACTTATTATACCAAAATCAGGAGTAATACTTCCTTAATAAACCTTATTCTTACTGTAATAAAGTCTTTGTCCGTTAAGTAGCATTTATTTCTATTTTTCAATGAAGAGGCATTTCCAAACATAAAACTGGTCAACTCACATGATGTGTGATGATATTGTATGTTGTTAGAGATATTCATATGTAAGTGGAAATTATGAAGAAAAGATAAACACATTAAATACCAGATACAGTTACTTCTGAGAAGACAAAAGAAGGTAGGATGGAAGAACCTACTCGGTACTCAGAGAACACCTCTTATAGTTCATTAACCTAAATATTTCCCACAATGATACCTCTTTTGAAAACAGAGGATAAGAAAATATCAGAATTCTTTCAAGTTTTTAAACTTGATTCCCTTTCCTACGTTTTTACTTCGTTTTCAATGATGGTAACCCGGAGGGGGAACAAAAACCAAACAAAACTGTTCCAAATCACAAATGCTCTATTAAAGCACAAAGCCAAACAAAACAACAGGAAAAAATCTCTTCAACCATCAAGAAGGGTTCCAGGCCCATAGAGATGGCTCATTGATTAAGAACACTTGCTGCTCTTGCAGAGGATCTGAGTTAGGTTCCCAGCACCTAGCTGATAGCCTAAGATTGCCCTGTCCATAGCTCTTGTTCCTGGGGATCCAGTACCTTCTTCTGGCTTCCACAGGTACCAGGCATGCACGGAGTACACTTACAGAAATCCAGGGAAAATCCATACATATAAAATAAAAGACAAATATCTTTATAAAATGAAAGTATTTCAATTCAAGAAAGAAGAAAAACAGATATAGCAAAGAGGGTCAACAGGAATCTCAAAACTGAGACTCTAGTACATTGTTCAGACACTAAAATAATTCCTAATTTTACTAAAAGTAGCTTTTCCCTAATATTTTCATTTACTTCCAGATACTAGTGTACACAAATCATTTCTTCCATTCAATACAAATAATGTAGTTGTAATTCAATCTCCATGTGAAAACGGGTTGCTACAAACCCAACCATTAGTTACAGTATAATTAAAACTACAATTTAAAGTAATTTAAGTGCATAAAAATATTATAGATATTATAATAATCCCTATTTATCTATACTTACTAGCTATACTGAAAAAAGCAGCTTTTCCTTTAGGAGGCTAAATGTGTTTAAGTGAATGCATGAGTAAACTCCAAGTCAGCAGAAGTCTGAACCTGTACTGCCCCTGGAGAGCCTGAACAGCCTCAGGTAAAAACAAGTCTGCTTTTCTAAACACACATCAGGGAAATGCTTGAAAATTATAGCATACTAATCTTCTCTGGGAAGAAATTCAAACATTTTCACAACTGTTGAATCAAAATAAACTTTCTAGTCTAGACAAATTAGACCTACATCATGCTAGACCTACCTCATCATGCGCCTTCTTTTTCTAAATTTAGGATTTTTTTGCCTTTTGAAAAGTGTGCCTAAACCATGAAAACTTAAAAATGTCTGGTGGGTAAGGACATTAGCAAGGTATCAAAATAGATGGTAACAGGCTTCTTTCTCCCTCCATTCCAAGACAACACTCAGAGATTGAGAAACAGCAATGGCAAGGGACCCAACTAAGAACCTACAAAAAGTGTAGCAAAGACAGGAATTGTTGGTGGGTGGCACATCTGTGACATCTAGAGTCACATCTGTGATACTTGTGTGTCAGTATCAGCAATGCATAGAGTACCACCATGGTTGCCAGTGTTTCCAGTGGCCTTCTCTTTGAAGGAAATGATCTTCTGCTGCTGGACTTGTCAGCAGTGATAGCCAGTTTGAAATTTCTTCATGGAGAAAGATATTGTGTGCCTACCCTTAAAGGATCCATAGTGGTACACTACACATCTTACACTACTTCATGTGCCCCAGATCCTGCAATCATGGTCTTACTCAGCCTTCATGCAACAGACCTACCCCTGTGGTTGTACTTGAGTACCCATGCTCTAGGAACTGGTGGAACTATCTTGGTTGAGCCACTGCAGCTCAGGCCCTCTGCCTGCAACCCATATTCACAGCGGGCCTTGGAAACTTCGCTTCACTGTCACTGAATGAGCGACATTTCAGAAATCAACATTGCTGCTGGCAAGCAAGTCAGTACTGTAGGCTCCAAAACCACTGTTGCCCATGTGAACCTCTACTTGGCAACTCTGTGGCCACCTCTCAGGAACTTCAGCCACCTCTACAGTGGACATATCCACACCCCACAGTGACACTGCTTCAGTGGCAGACTCCTGCATTCTGAATCCCACTTCCATTTGCACTTTATGGGCATACAGATCTCATACAGTGTTATGAACAGTGATGGAGGGACCAATGTCAAGGCGACCCACACGTGCCATGACACAGTCATATTTCTGTTGGCTTCATGGATAGTGTCACCATGAGTACAGTCCTGGCATGTACACTAGAACATGAATTTCCAATGGGAGACAAATATGATGAAGAGAACTTCAAATCCTTGACCAGAAAGACCTCAATCATCTGCACTGCTCTACTCAAAGCTCCATGCTTTGTCAATAGAAGCCACTTTTATTGATCCAGTGGTGTCCTCAGCTGAAAGCACTGTGTGGAGATGATGCTGTCATATAGGAAGCACATCACTTGCTGAGCATCCTCATAGCCATCTGCAAGGGAAGGTGTTTCACCACCAAAACCAGTTGTTCTGTATTGTTTTATTTTTCCCAAGAGCCTCACTATGTAGTTCCTGTTTCACCACCAAAACCAGTTGTTCTGTATTGTTTTATTTTTCCCAAGACAAAGCCTCACTATGTAGTTCTGTCACGGAACTCATTCTGTAGATCAGGCTGGCCTTGAACTCACAGAGATCCACCTGTTTTTGCCTCCCTAGTGCTGGGATTAAAGGTATGTACCACTGCACTGGGCTTCCCAAACCAGTTTGCAAGGTAGAAGAAGCAAGGTGC